TTGAGAGCAGATGGCGGCCTTCCTGATTAACCTGCTCAGTGCTGGTAGCCAGGGCTGCTTGAACTCCTTCATCTATGGCATCCTGCCAGCCGCTCTCAGCTGGACATATGCTGGGCAAAGCTTCTCCAGTGCTGCCCCAAGGCAGTGGGTGCTGTGCAGTGCCATATACAAGAAAAGGACCGGGTAAGAGAGCTCATCTCCAGAATCCTGGGTTGAGGGGGTGACACATCAATATTAAGTCCTTACTTTTATTTTCTTTTGTATCAACAGAAAGATATCTTTACCATACTCATGCTTTACTCCTTGATTCTGCAGCACTGCCACTCTGCTTTATGGCCCATATGGCTGCCCCCCTCCTGTCACACCACCCCCTCCCTGTCACACTGTCCCCTTCGTCATACTGCTCCCCACCTGTCACACTGCTCCCTTCCTGTCCCACTGCCCCCTCCTGCCTCACTGCCCCTCTTCTGTCTTACTGACCCCTTCCTGTCTCACTGACCCCCTCCTGCCCTACTGCCCCCCACCCGTCACACTGCCCCCAGCTGTCCTACTGCCCCCCTCCTGTCCTACTGCCCACTCCTGTCACACTGCTCTCCACCTGTCACACTGCCCCCCTCCTGTCAAATTGCCCTCTCCTGTCTCACTGCCCCCTCCTGTTCTACTGCCACCCAGCTGTCACACTGCCCCCAGCTGTCACACTGCCCCCCTCCTGTCCTATTGCCCCCTCCTGTCACACTGCCCTCTCCTGTCACATTGCCCCCTTCTGTCATACTGCCCCCCTCCTGTCACACTGCCCCCACCTGTCCCGGGAAAGGAAAGTACAGAAATTGCACAGAAAATTGTATAATGTATGGCTAGCCTATGGGTCATTTCTGACAGTTTTTCCAGAAACCAGGAAATCCTTGAAGAAGGTCCACAGCAGGTGGTTGACAGCCTCAGATGTGCATGACTTCCAGTGAGATTTTGTAGAAGGGGAGTGTCTATTCCCTGCACTCAGGTCTCAGATTACATTCAGCTCGGTGCTGTGCAGTGTGTGTGCCTCAGATTCCCCTTCCCCATCTCCTGGAAGTTGAAAAATAACATTTAAACTTTTAAATATGTACTTCGGAAGGCTGCAGTCAAACATGTACAACTTATGTAGGAGGATTTAATTAAGCATGGTGTATCACATGAGGCTAGTCACTTCAGTAGGGTGATGTAAAGGTTTATTATCACTTTAATTTGTGTCTCTTATATCTGTCTACAATTCAGCTTTCATTTTTCTTTTATTAGCCAGTAACCAAAAATGCTGCCACTTTATTGTAACAGAGAACGAGACATGGAAACCTTGTTCATGCAAAGAATCTCATTTACTCAAGGTCAGGTTTTTACACCTCACATTACAGATGAGTAAACAAGAAGCTTGGGGAGTAACAATAGCTGCTGTCTTTCTCTATCTCTGTGCTGTAGTCTGAGTGTGTGTTATCATCCTGCCAGCCACAAAATAGAAAGATAAAAGCTTGTTCATGTCCCTGAGGTCTATACACCAGTGCTCTGCATTCTGACTGTTCTTTTTTATTCGCTATGCGAACTTGACCCCTTCGAAATAACTTTTCCTATATTATATTTAATTGATTCAATATGCACGAAGATGAAAGCTTGGTCTGTCAACTAAACATGTTTCTACTGTAGCAATAAAGGAGAGCGTTTTAGACGTGGAATGCAGTCAAACAAGGACACAGTGACAATTATTATCACTGGTTATGGCTGATTCTCTTCACTGTGCTAAGGACCTAAAGCTCAGCACAGGTTACAATCCAATTAAAGTGATTCTAAAGGTAAATTTTTTTTTTGGAAAATAACAAACATGTCTATATTTACCTACTATGTGCAGTGGTTTTGCACAGAGCAGGCTGGATCCTCCTCTTTTTGGGTCCCCCGCAGGCTCTCCAGGCCCCTCCCTTCTTTTGGGGTGCCCCCACAGCAAGCAGCTTGCTGCCCTGTTTGTCCATTCACACATAGAGTGCTGGCTTGCCCCCCCCCTCTCCTCATTGGCTGACTGACTGTGATTAACAGCAGCGGGACCCAACGGCTCCCACTTGCTGTCTCAGCCAATGAAGAGGGAACCGGGACAGCCGAGGCTGTTGTTCACATCGCTGGATTGCTATGAGGTTCAGGCAAGTATTGTTGGGGCACTACTGCACACAGTAGGTTTTTTTACCTTCATGCATAGAATGCATGAAGGTAAAAAACCTTCAGCCTTTACAACCACTTTAAATCTCCTTTGGATCTACCAACAACTTTGTAGGTCAAGGGCATTCTTGATTGGATACAAAATGATTGGTTAGATTATGTAGGCCCTTATATTACATCATTTTGGCAAATATAAAGTTCACTGTACAAAGATTGTATAGTAAGATTGTAACATGTATAGTGACCCCAAGGCACTATGAATCCACTCCACCCCCCCCCCCCTTCCATTTAATGGTGATAAGCCTAGCACTAAGTCCCACTTGTATTTTGTTGGCTAAAACACATGGGGACATACAATATGTGGAATAGACTCCCTCAAGAGTTGGTTCTGGCCAGCTCAGTGGATTGCTTTAAAAAGGTCCAGATTCTTTCCTAGATACACAGAATATAACTGGATACTAACATTTATATGTAAAGTTGATCCAGGGAATATCCGATTGCCTCTCTGGGGTTCAGGAAGGAATTTTTTCCCTGCAGGAGCAAATTGGATCATGCTTTGCTGGGGTTTTTTTTGCCTTCCTCTGGGTCAACTGTGGGTACAGGATTATAACTTTTTTCTTTTTAAATGGTTGAACTGGATGGACTTTTATCTTTTTTCAGTCAGACTAACTATGTAAAATTATGGACTAACTGTCCATAATTTTAAAAGGGCCCCCATTCTACAATATGAAAAACCATTCTAATAGTTTTATATAATGCAGCAACATCCACACATGTAGGACACCCAACGTCAGAGGTGATTTATTCTTCCAAAGCAAATACACCTTTGCACACTGGTACTGAGTAGTATTCCAGGGTTTATCTTCTCCCTCAGTTTTTCTCCATCACTGAGATAATGTGACCCTAGACTGCCAGAGAGGGGAAGGGGAGGGTCAAACTAGGATGCTGTGCAGGTAGCTGACATCCTCATATTATCAACTGATGTCATTGGTTGTCAGGACACCGGCAGCTAGAAGGTCATAGTGGTGCGCAATGAAAACCTGTGACTTTGTGTAACTAAAAGGCAGGCTCCTTCCACCTGCTGGTTTGTATAAATTTTTTGGGAATTTTTTAGACATTTTTCCAAGGCACCCTTAACGAATCCTCAAGGAAACCCAGGGTGCCTAGGCACCCTGGTTGAGAAAGGCTGGTATAGAGTCACACATGTAGGCCGTATATACAGTGGTAAATGACACTCTGCACCCTCCACCTCCTCCATGTCTTCCTTTTGGTAAACACTATGGGGACGAGATGTAGTATGCTGATTGATTACATTCACAGTAAATCAGTATTAAATATACTGTATAAAACGTAATTGCTAATACCTGTAAAGCAAAAAAGAGCCTTTGATACTGATGCTGTCGGAACAAAGTGACTGACACATATATATTTTACTCTGTACTTTACACCTACTGCTTCGACAGCTCTCAACTGTTGTAGTGGAGTGACTCTCCATGGCAGAAGACATTGCACATTGCATATACTGTAAGTGCCAAGCTACCAACACTTTTTGCTGTTAAACCAGCAACTGGACAAGACCAGGGGTGGACTGACCATTTAGCCACTCGGGCAGTGCCCGAGGACCGGGGGTCTGTAGGGGACCCCATGAGATGCCCCTGGTACCTTTCATAGGCTTTTTTAGGTGTAGTTTGAGTGTGGGTGAGGGCACACGGGCTGCATGATTTCCTATTGCCCGGGGGCCCATGAGTTGTCAGTCCGCCCCTGGACAAGACCTTATGCTTTTTTCAAAATTGTAATTTCAGGATTCCCTAACTTTCTTGCTTAGACCTTCTTTTCCAGTTAAAGGCCTCTTGTAAATGCTGAATAGTCTTTGTGTTTCGAACAAACACATTTCTAACAGAGTATGTAATTTTCATTTGCTAAAGTCAATGAGTCCCAAATTCAAATAATAAAAGCAAATAAAATCTTTCAATCAACTTTTGAATGTTCTGAGAATTTTCATACAAATTTTTCTAAGACTTTTCCTAAGAGAATTTTGTTCGAAATTTTGAAATTCTATTTATGGCCAGCTTAAGAATTTAAAAACATTGTCAGGCTTTCAATGCTGTCTAAGTCCTGGTTAGGTAGATTTTACCTACATTCTGACTTGTTTGCACAATAGAAAGAGAGTCAAAATTTTCCCAAAGTGGACACAGAAAGCAAAAGAAAATCTGCTGCTTCTGAAGCCTGCCTTGTACCAGGAACAATTCTACTTTGTACAACATATTCTAGCAATCCTTCTGAGTCCACCATTCCTCCCCATGCAACCATTGTCGCCTTGATGAAGGAATAACTTAGTCCTTGAGATGGGATGACTTAAACCTTGCATTTTTATGATGTCATAAATATTTTTGGACTCCAAAAGCATTCATATGCTGCCCCTGCTTCTCCTACACCCCCTGATCTCCTTCCATGGCCCACATTTGAAGCCCAGTAATGTTAGAATGTTAGCACTCCACATAACAAAATCCACTCACCCTGTGCATCTGAATTGAATTTTAATTAAGAATCTCTCTCTCCTACAAAGAACCCAGCAATATAATTCTTCACAGAGGTTATAACCCTTTCCCTTTCTATAAAAAAAGAAGGAACACAGTTTGGCTGGGTTTGTAATTTACAGCAAAAAATCTGAATCAGAGGTAAGAGGTTAGAAGAAGTATAGGGTTCAACACTGGCAAATATTCTCCTCAATATAACAGCCTATGCACACGATATTCCTTTCGGGCAAGCACCAGAGTTGGCAAACTTCATGTCTGGTCCAGTCATTAAAGAAAACAGTTGTCTTACCAGGCTGTTGAAGTCTGAAAGGACATCATTGTTGGGCTAACAGTGTCTCCTTTTAATGTGTGTACAGCATGTGACATCTGAGTCTGTGCTTGGCAAGGCTCCTGTGTTGTCTTGTCCCACCGCCTCTGTCCTTGCCTCATCCATTTGGCTTGGATCCCCAACCTTGACAGGTATAGCTTGCAAAACTCATAGTTCATTGCAGAATAATACATCAGATCCAGGACCAGCAGGACCACCACGAAAAATCCATACACCCAGACGCCAACCAGGGCACTGTAGTTACTGTGGGAAATAAGAGATGTTAATTAGGAGCAGTTTTCAAACAATTTCCACAAGAAAAAAGCTAAGTGGCCTTTTTCCTAAAGGGCACCTGGAAAATTTTGGATCTCCCATTACGTTCTCTATCAGGAACAAAGGTCACCAGCAGGCCCGGACTGTGACAAAAAATAGGCCCGGGCATTTTAGACTGAACAGCCAATTTCCATGGGACGCAGTTCAAGGGCATTCGCGGGGGCAGTTGGTGATGGAATATTCACGGAGTCGGTCCTCCACACTGTAATACAAAAGGGGACTGCACTGTATAGGGGCACTGTATTGATTATAGTGCCCCTTTACAGCGTAGTCCCCTTTATATCACAGTGCCCCTAGAAATCTAATCACAGTGCCCCCTATATATTCAAAGAGATGGCCCAATCCAGCAAATAGACATCCCCATAAAGCAAAGAGACATAAGAGACATCCCCATCCAGCAAAGAGACATCCCAAACAACAAAGACGGGATGTCTCTTTGCTGAATGGGGATATCCTTTATTGAACTGGGCTGTCTCTTTGCTGGATTGGGATGTCTCTTTACCCAACTGAGCAAAGAGACAGCCCAGTCCAGAAAAGAGACAACCCTGTCCAGCAAGGAGACAGCCCGTCCAGCAAGGAGACAGCCCAATCCACCACCGCTACAGATCTGTCACAGTGTGCCCACCAGTGAAGGAGAGAGGCCGACGTTGTCTCTTCAGTGCAGCAGCTGGCCGAGCAGGTACCTGTGTGTCCTTGGCGGCTGCTTCCTGCTCTTCATTGGAGCCATCACTGCCGCTCCTCCTGTTGGCCCTGCTTTAGGCATAGCCACACAGTAGGAGGTGAGGTCTGTGTTAGCTCTGTCCAGGCCGCAGTCGCCGCTTCCATCCTGCTGTGCTGCTGGTCATCAGCAGGGCTGCTCTTCTAAATCCCGGTGGCCCTGGCCCATCAGGCAAATGCCCAGTGTGCCCTATGGCCAGTCCAGGCCTGGTCACCAGGATAAATGGAGTGGGTGAATCTCGCCTGTGGGGACGAGTGAAATTGAATTTTAATTTCCTCTAAATTTTAACAAAAAGTGTAAGCTTTTGGAGATATTTTACCATTTTGGGGGATGCATTAGAGTCAATGGAAAAGGTGATTTTGGTTTGGTTTTTTAAAGGTGCAATGAACTTTAAATGCCTGCTGAGGGTTATGAAAGCTCCTTTCAACAAACAGCCCCTGATTAGCCCTTTTGCCTTTGTTTTTTTTTTTTGTAACAAAAGATAATACTAGACAGCAAAATAGAAAAATAAAACAAATGTAAAGCAAAAGCCTCCAAAAGTGATTAGATGTGTGAAAAAGTAAAAAAAAAAAAAAAACACCCACACAAAGAACACTAAATGAAATAAATCAAAATACCCTTAAAAAGAGTTTTAAAAAAGCCCAAATTAATAGATTTTTTTCCACAAGCAACACGGTGAGCAAAATTAGGAGTTTTTTCTTCGACAGTTTTTGCTTTAAAATTTTTCTGGTGGCATATTCAGTAATTTCAAACACAAATTTAATTTTGCTAAACCACTTGGCTTATCCTTTTTAGCCTGCAGAGACAGACAGCAATACATTCCAACCATAACTAAAGCAAAATGTTATAGCTAGGGATGCACTCTAATTCTTGTTTTATATAAAGGTTTTCTGCAAATTGCAATGTACAATTAACATTTATTTGCTGAGATTAACATTGAGGGCCCCCTGATGTGTCCTGATAAAACCAGGACTGTTAATAGATCTTTCACATGGGGTAAATTTTTTGTTTTAGTGACACTGACCCTTTAAATATGTGGTTCCCAGATGTGCAACAGAGTCATAAAACATATTAACGTGACAAGGAAGAAATGCTCACTCATAACTATTCCTACTAGCAGCAGAATTTGCAGAAGGCCCATTACATATTACCATAGCTCAGAAAATGAAGGTTTTATGGAAGGGGAGAGGTATTTAGAAGACTCTAGAGAAAAAAAAACTTTACTATAATATATGTTGTTGTTGAATTATTTGACCACGAGGAATGCTTCTCTATGCTGTATAGATTGTGAATATTATGCATAATGTTTCTGGGGTTGAGACATACTGCTGCGAAGATTTCTGGAACATTAGGAAAATGAAGATCTTTTAAAGTAAAACTCTACTCTAGTTGAAAGAAATGAAAAAAAACTAAATATCCGCCAAATTAACAGTACACTTTTCTGCAATTTTATAGTCGAACTAAACTTTCTCAATCCACATCAACGATTTGTATGCTGCTAGCATTAGTAAATAGATAGGAAGGTATATTATATTTTCTTGTTTTAAACCTTTTTTACATTTCTTCAGTTGCTTCCTGGTTTCGGGCCTAGGCCAAAATGATGCTGTGCATCCCAGGGGTCTTCAGGAGGAGAGGACGGCTTTCTCAGCTAAGCACACCCTCCTGCCTGCATGACTGAGCACGGGCGTCCCTAGGGTTGGTGTCACCCGGTGTGATAACACTTGGTGACACCCCCTCCGATGATCCCCGCAGAATGGATCGGATCTGCGGATTGTTGAGCATAATGGATCAGACTCCGATCCATTATGCTCAATCCGCAGATCCAATCCATCCTGCAGGGATCGTCGGCTTGCTTTACAACTTACCTTTTCGTGGAGCGAGTCCGATGTCACCCCGTGTGGTAGGTGTCACCCAGTGCAGCGCGCACCCCCCACACCTGCCTAGGGAGGCCCCTGTGACTGAGCTAAGGGCAGATAGATTCAAAGAAGTTAATATTATATGAATCATCTGCCCTTACTCAAGATGGCCACATCTAGATACTGGGGGGGGGGGTTTAAAGTGATTTCTCAACAAAATAAAGCATGGAGACAGGGATGGATGGGTAAGTTTGCTTTGGTTGTTAAAAATTAAATAGCGTTTTCGGTTTGTGATGCTCAGATACAGTTTAGTTCCACTTTAAAATTTGTAAAGCCTCCCAATTAACTTGTTTTGTTTGCATCCATGTGGTCTGCTGAAAGCATTTTGCTGTATCTTTTTGATTTTTTGATAAGTGCAAAAAATATCTGTTGAATCTGCCAAAAATTCAGTGAGGCTCTTACCACACAGCCACAAAAAGGCACCTCTGTAGAGTGTGGCCCCTAACTCTAAACTATCTGAGTCCCCAATTATGGGACATACTGTATATAGCAATGCACAAACTAAAAACAGGCTGGTCAAAAGGAAAACCTCTCTCCTTAAAAGGTATAGCAACACTCAAAGTAGTTTAAAACCAGCAAAAAATAGAAAAGTGCACATGGACAGGGCAAAATACAAAGAGCTCAGCACAGCTAATACTTGTATTTTATATACTTTATTGGATGCGTTTTCAATAATGCATTTGATAAGGTGGATTAAAAACAGATACTACTACAAGTGCATAGATATGAATGAACCCATGCATGGATATTAAAGACCAAATAGAGCTACTTAAAACCACACGACCGCCCCAAACACACAGATGACATTACAAAGCAATTTAAATCTGGCTTTATGTTTTACAAGTTTGTTTTAACACAACATGTCACAATAAACGCCATAGTCAGTTCTGTTCATAATTGCTTTAATATAACAGTTTTTACATCTACAGTGGCAAAGTTGGTACAGTAATTTGTTTTGTCGGTCATGGTCACAGTCAATGCGAAAACCGCCAATTAAACGCAAAGCTAAAACAAACAGCCATTCTCAGTGAATACAATCTACAAGAATGTATTCATCTCCCAGCCTGTGGCTTCTCCATCTGCTCCTTGTAAATAGCATCTGTCTTTCATACGAGACGCTTTTCACAGCTGATAGGCCAGAGCCAAGCTTCCATCGCTAAAATATGTGCGCTGACATGTCTTAGTTACACTTATCGGCAGGACGATTTTTACCAATAGAGGCCTGTACCGAGCAACTGTGGGAGAGCCTCTCTAGGATCCCAACTGCTTTAAATCTGTCTTTTATATACAATCAGTTATATGGGTTTGTGCGTGTGAGAAGGAACATACTCCCAGGTCACGTTATAGACCTGGCTCTATTGAAGTGCATTGTATTAGTCTCTTTTCTCCTGTTTGTCTGAGGATCGCAGTCATCTACTGGCCCAGTTTCACACTTTCTTGATGACTTCTCGGCATGGCTACCATACTTTCTCTCCTCTGAGGTGCCTGCCATCATCCTCAGTGACTTTAACATCCCAGTCATTGTTAACACCTCAGCCACTTCTCAACTGCTCAACCTTACTTCCTTTTTTAACCTAACACAATGGACACAATCCACCACCCACTCTAACGGCAGCACCCTCAACCTTGCATTCTCCCACCTATACACTCCCTGTAACCTCTCTAACACCCCTTTTCCTCTCTCTGATCACAACTTTATCAGCTTCACACTCTCCCTGTCTCCTACCTCCCATGCCTCCAACCAGCAAACTGTTACCTGTAGAAACCTCAACCACCTCAGCCCTGACCTTCTTCACTCTGCTACTGAGTGCCTCTATGATAAAATTGCGCCCCTGTCCTGTTCAGACCTGGCCTCATCTGTCTACAATAACCATCTATCATCCTCCCTGGATGCACTTGCTCCTCTCTCCACACGCAGAACCAGGCCCCGCCTGTCCCAACCCTGGCAAACAGATGACACCAGAAGTCTCAAGAGACGCAGCTGTGCTCTTGAGCGAGCATGGCGTAAAACCAAATCCCTGAAAAGACTTTACCCTCTACATATCCGCCCTTCTCAAATAGAACTCTGGTCTCCATTCTGCTAAACAAACCTACTACAGCACTCTCATCAAAATCCTCTCATCCAATCCTCATCAACTCTTCTCTACCTTTAATTCCTTACTCCACCCCCCCCCCCCACTGCCTCCACCCACCAACTTACTGCACAGGGGATTGCCAGTCATTTCAAGAACAAGATCGATACAATTTGCAATGAGATCTCGAGTAACAAGCTTCCTCCTCCAACCAACATGCCAGGC